CCCCTGCCGCACCTGCGCCAGGCGTTCGTTGAGCTCTGCCACTGTGGCCTCCAGCTTGAGGGTGCGCGCCTGCTCAGCCGACAGCTGGTGGCGCGCGTCGTCCAGGGACTGGCGCGCGCGTGTGTGTGTGTGTGTGTGTGTGTGTGTGTGTGTGTGTGTGTGTGTGTGGGTGTGTGTGTGTGTGTGTGTGTGTTTGCGTGTGTGCACGTGCCCACACGAGACCACAACACCAGGCAACCACGCTGGTGTGCAAGCGAGTTGCTGCACGCAGCGCCGCAGCAGCAACATCGGCTGCAATTCGATAATACAACAAGGAAGTGCCCTCAACACGCATCCAAGGAGCACCCCTTCCCTGCCCAGCCCTCGACCCGGCCGGTCCCCGAAACAAGTCGGCCGAGCGGACACCCCTGCACCCACCCTTTCCGCGTCGCCGAGCGCGGCCTGCGCCGCCGACAGCTGGCGTCGCAGGAGGGCGATCTCCTGCCCTGCAGACTCCTGGGCTGCCGCCACCTGGCCATTCCGCATGGGGGATCACACGTCGCGGCTCGGTCTCCGCCAACAGCATGGGGGCTTCGCCACACACAGTGGGCACGCGGCGCAAATGGCCCCCTAACAACCATGATGCGAATGCTCCCGCCCAACCGGTCTGCACCCCAGCTCTCGTGATCCCCTGCCAGCCTGCATGATGCGGCGCGGCCTCGGCGCGATCCGCCCACATCAAACGCACCTGCTGCTGCGCCTCGGCCGCCGCCGCCTGCGCTGCCGCCAGGTCCCTTTTCAGGGTCTCCCGCGCCACCGCCAGCTCCCGCAGCAGGCTCTCGCCCTGGGGCGCCGCGCCAAAGCTGCCGCTGCCGCCGGAGCGGATCGCGGGCGCGGGCGCAGGCGCCGACGACGCCGCGGCCGCGGAGCCGTTGCCGTTCGAGTACGCCTGCTGTTGCTGCTGCTGCTTCAACTCCGCCTGCTGCTGCTGCTGTTGCTGCGGCCCGGCCTCCAATGACTGCCGCTGGTGCTGCTGCGGCGCCGAGGCCGCCTCCGCCGGCGCGGCGGGGTGGCCGTCGTCGGCGGCGGGTAGCTTGAAGACGCTGACTGCGTTGTGGTATTTCCCATTGTACCCGCCGAACGCCACCAGCAGGCCGAGCTCCGGGCAGTGCCTGGGGCAGGAGGCGGTGCATTTTCTCAAGATTTCATGCGGTTTGCCGCTCAGGAATCCCGGGCTTGCATCGGCTGGTGCGTGACACCCTATGGGCAGCGCCGCTTCCGTCGGGACGGGTCGCGGCCAAGCCCCTGCAACCGGCCGCCAGCCCCTCCAAGGACGCGCGCTCCTCGCAACCGAGGCGGGGACCAGGTCAAGGTGGGGGGACACCGGGTGCTTCGCGGATCCGTGGAGGGGCGCGTGTGTGTGTGTGCTCACAGTAGGGAGATGCCCTCGCTTGAGAGGGGGGAACCGGCTGGGACAGCCGCCACGCGCCGCCACGCCACGCTGCTGGCTGAGGCCTCCGACAGGTCAGCGCACAGCATGTCGGTGCAGCCTGGTGGGCGCGTGTGTATGTGCGTGTGTGTGTGTGTGTGTGTGAGCGCATGTGTTCAGTAGTTGAGGATATGTGTTGAATTGCACGCATGTGTGTGTGTGTGCACGATATTTTGTGCAAACAGTTGTGTGGCTGCACGTTTGTGCGATAGTGTGGCTGTGTACGTGCACAATTGTGTGTTGTGTGTATGTGTGTGTGTGTG